GAGTGTTGCCCCCGTCCCGGGCGGGGGACCGGCAACGGGATCGAAACCCTCGGCGTTGCTCCTGCGCCTCGCTCAGCCAGTGAGCGGGAGCCGGTCTGTATGTGGGATCCGAACCCTCGGACGGGAGCGCCGCCGCACTTCCCAAGCGGCGCACTATCCAGTGCGCCACCGGGCTGGCCCCCATTTTCTATCTATTAATTATTAATTGTACAGTAAATTATTTCACGTGATGTCTTCTCTGCAATTCCTTAAATAGCATAAACTATACTTTATGGAAATTTAAAGATTGTGTTCATCTATCATATCACGTGGCACAAGACAAAACTTTAGAGGAGAGAAGTCTAGTTTATGCTTCAATGATCAATTTTAAAAGATTTGTCAAAAATCTTCCTGGTATTTAATACGCATACATTGAAGAGGCCCAATTCTTCTCATATTAAAAACTTATGTTGGAAACAAAAGCTAGACTTATCTTGGGCCTGAGATTTTTTTTTAAAAAGTGCACTTATCCACTTATGATCTAGTGAAACAGTTAATAACCTTTTTGGAAAATGGGCCTATTTGAGAATCTGATAAAAAGCAATGAAGCGCCTTTTCACCCATACATAAAACTTTACACGCTTTTTTTTTGGCTCACTGATCCAATGAATGCAATCCACAAACCCTTAAGGAGTTCATGTACCCCCTACTCCCCCAGGTTAAGAATACCTGGAAAGGGGAGATTCCATTAACTCTTTAATTCAAAGCTAGATAGTGAATTTGTAAGTATCTCAAAAGCAACATTCTGAGTTTGCAATCTAGGAACATAAAAACGTTTTCCTCAAGTATTGATTACTTTAATCCTTAACTATATGTGTGCCTTGAAAATGTTTAAATGTCTTGGTAACCTTTCTTATCCCTGTTTGGTTAATAGAGTAAGTTCAAAGGGTCCTTTGGGAGCGATGACATCAGAGAAACTGTTATGATCATCATCGGGGCCCTCGTCAGGAAGTTCTGTCAGAACGAAGGCTGCAAACTCAAAGTAAGTGCAAATCCAATCTCATGTATCATACCATTCCAGACCATCCTACTTAATACTCACCATGCTGCCCACCACTGGCACTCCTAATCCAACTACCCTACTCTACTTTCCCTATTTGCATAGCACTTATTGCCATCTAACATACTTTACAATTCAGTTGTTTATTATGTTTATTGTTTACTTCTATTTCCAACTAGATTGTAAATTCCATACAGAAATGGATCTTTGTTTTGTTCAACATAAATTGCTTCAAACAGTGCCTGGTATATGGATAATGCTCAATAAATACTTGCTAAAAAGTGAATAGTACATTAATCTCCCTGCCAATATACATTTATTGAGTGCCCACTACATACTCAGTTTTGAATGGTGTGTATGATATAGTTCTTGTTCTCAGAAAATATTAGACTCCACGGCTACCTTCTAGAGCAGAACTTTGCCTATAGTAAGTGTGGTTTGCAGTTTTGAGTTTTGATAGTTGGAATGTAGTTACTTCTAATCACTTAAAACTTTATATATTTTTTTACATTTCATTTGCTCAAGGCTGCTCCACTTGCCTAGGTGAACTATCAATTGTCACATCTTTCTCATGTAAAAAAAAAAAAGCAAAACCAAACTTTTTAAACATAACTAAATGGAAAATATCAAAATGGATTAATATCTAACACAGCCCATGTTTCTATAATGCAAGTAAAGATGCTAAATATATATACGTAGCCTATTTTCTGTCCACGTTTTTTATATAGCCAGCATCTGGTGAGCATTTTTCTTCTACTTCAGAAACACATCACCATATTAATTTGCTTACTAAATGCTTACTATTAAAAACGATAGGGAGAAAATTCTTGAAACCAAATTGTTCCAAAAGAGGCAACCCATAACTAGAATGCACACTAAGTATTAAAATTATTACTAAAAAACAGCAGCATTTAAAACATTTGAGTATTAGTTTCTTAAGTTTTGGCAGAAATAAAAATTACTATTTTTTTATGACATTAGAAAACTATGACTTCTTATATTTTTTAATTTGCATAATTATTTGAGTAGCTGATTTACTTCAGCAATTTGTGTATTAAATATCTTGGCTTAAGACAAAACCCACATATAAAAACAACCATTCATCAGTAATTAATGAGCATCTTCTCTGTCCTAGGCATGATGCTAATATTTTAATATAAAGATGCATAAAATATTCTACCATCCTCAACAAACAAACTCCTACTCTGCTTATCAAATATAAACAGATACATAATACTGAAATATAAACAAAGTGCTCTGAGAATACAGAAGATACAGCAACCTTTTCTGTTTGAAAGTGCTGGGGGGAAGGCATCACCAAAATAGTAGTATTTGAGCTTAGTCTAGAAGAGCTTTTTGCTGAAAAGATTATAGTATGGAATAAAGGACATTCCAGGAGAGATACGACAATGTATGAAAAGGCCCAAAGTCAAAATGGGCCTGGTATGCTTGGGAGCAGTGAGAAATTCTGTGGTGCTGGAGCAGAGAATATGTTTGTGGGGGCAGAGAGGTGGGGGTGGAGATACAGGAAAGAGGGGAAAAGAGCAGAGAAGTAAGCTGGATCTTTAATAATGACAAGCTAAGCTTACCTTCATTCTGTAAAAAAAATAAAAAAGGGAGACCAATGCAGTCTCTAGACTGGTGAATGACATGCACAGATTTTTTTATTTAGGAAGAAGCAAGATGTTGTACAGACTGGGTGCTGGCTGGATTAGAGTCAGTGAGATCTGACTAGAAGCATCTGCAATAACCTAGACAAGAATTAGTAAAGGTCTGAATTTATGCAGGGGCAGAGGGGTGAGAGAAGGAGACAGATTCAGGAGTCATTTAGGAGGTAGAGTCAATAGTATTTAGTGACTGGTGAGATATGGAGAATGAGAAAGGTAAGAATCCAGGTGACTCCAAAGCTTCCAGGTATGGATACCTGGTAAATAGTGATGCCAACCACTTAAGCAAGGTTTATAGAGCCTGATTTGGGGGTGGAAGGAGGGTAGAACTATTAATTTTGGGGGGCCATGCTAAGTTTGTAATCTTGTGGGTAACCAGATTGAGTTATCCGGTGGACAGATGGCCATACCCATCTGCAGCTCAGAAGAGAAGTTAGGGCCAGGAGTAGAGAGTGGTTGAAACCTTGGGAGAGAATAGGATTACCCAAGACAGGTATGAGAAGGAAATTAAGCAAAGGATTAAATTTAAAGTTTTTTGTATAATGGGATTGCCTAATTCTTATCACATCTTTAAAATTACCTTATAGGTAGCTGCAAACTATCCGCTATCACTGTCATTCAATTTTGTTGATGTTTTTGAGTGACATTTTTTTTTTCTTTCTTTAGCATCTTTGTGGATAATGAGATTTGATCACCAGATGGACTGTAGTAAATGTTCAAATTTTCTTTTGAATTTTCTGCTGTGGAACACTCATCTACCTGTTGCACAAATCAAAGACATATGAATGGAAAGAAAATTATGTATTCTAAGTACAAATATAGGATATCTATTGGGCACACAATACTTATACTGACCAAAAGGTACCTGCCATTCTATTGCATGCTATAGCTTTTTAACATTTACTAGCATGAAAGCCATTGTCCTATGGCAATCTGAATGGCAGCTAGGCAAGTTAATAATCAATATTAAGACCCATATTTCTTTTTTTTCTATTTGTGTTTTTGTTTACATTTTGACATTCCTGCTTTCTTTTTTCCATGAATACGTATTTGAAAAAATTCAAACCTACAGAAAAGTGGTAAGAACAGTACAATTCCATGAACATTTACATACCTTCCATCTAGATCCACTAATTGTTAACATATTGTCATATTTGGGTTATCTCATTCTGTTTTGTTTTATTTTATTTTAATTGAACGATTTGAGAGTGAATTGCAGACATCTGACATTTTATCCCTAAATACTTTTATTTCTTATTAAATGAGTGCTATTGCACCTAGGCTCTTACAATGGACAAAATATTCATATTTATTAAATTGTGAGTTCATATTGATCTCTCTAATTCTAATCCAAAACTACAAGGTTCTTTCTCTTCTTCCCCCATTCCATAATTATGTGCTACTTTTCCCACAGTGAGAACCCTGGTTTTCAAGAACATCAATATATTTACTCATCCACTCAGTCTTAAAACATACACAAAACAGTTTTAGAATTGCTACATCAATATCCCTACAAAAAATAAGTAAAGTTCAGGACTTCGTTACAGTTCTTTTTGTCTTTAGCATATATTCCACTGAAGGTATACAGAGTATTGTGCTCTAAAGTTGCTTGGATTAATTATTTTTTTGTTCTCTTCTGTTTAATTATATTATAAATGTGATATACATATAGGTTTGTTTCTGTTTGAATTAAACTTTAGTAATTTTCCCTCCTTGCTGATTTAATTTTATTTCTTGAACATGTGAAATAGTAACATGACTCAAAAGTCAAAACTATATTTTAAAGTATTCTCAAAGAGGTTTCATTCCCTTCCTATCCCTTCCACCCATTCTCACCTCCTGTAGATAAACAACATTGGATTTTTTTTTTTTTTTTGTCTTTTGTCTTTTTACAACATTGGATTTTGGTTTCTTCTTCCTTTGTTTATTTTTGCTACAGTAAGCAGATGTGCACACACATACACAATTCTTATTTCTTTTTTCTTGCACAAAATACAGTTTCTATATATACTCTTTTGTATCTTATTTTTTCCATTTAACAATATATCCTGGAAATCACTCCATACTGATTCAGAGAGATCTTCCTCATTCCGTTTTACAACTGCCTAGTACTCCACTGCATCAATGGACTATGGTTTATTCAGCATCCACTATGTATGGTCATGTAGGTGATTTCCACTATTTTGCTATTGCAAATAATGCTAACCTTAGGCACATTTTTTCTTATTGTTGGAGACAGAGCTAGGGTTGTTGGGTCAAATGCAATTTTGTTAGCTTTTGTCAAATTATCTTCCATAGGAATTATACGATTGTATGCTTCCACCAGCAATATACGAGAATGTCTATTTCCCCATTACTTCACCAACAAAGTATGTTATCAAACTTTAAAATTTTTTACCAATTTGATAGTTGAGAAATGTCACTTCTCTGATTACATGTGAAGTTCTTCATGTTTCTTTCTATTTGGGACCTTTTATATCTTGTTCTCCACTCCATCTCCTCCCGTCACCACATCCCCATGTATGTGCGTTTGTGTGTGTCAGTGTGTGTGTACCTGCAGCCTAATTTCAAATCCTGTAGATGAATTAGCTTACAAATCCTGTACATGAATTAGATCTTAGGAATTTTTATCTTAAAGATGAAACTAAAGCCCCTAAAACATATGTAGTGGCAAAGATAATACCAGAACCCAGATGTCTCTGTTTCTAATTTGCTTTTGCATTAAACTATTAACTTGTACTCAATTATTTTGATTTACAGGCTGAAAAAGGGCCTTTTTTGATTACAGAACATATTTGTAAAGTACCTTGTAAAGTAGCTGCCTTATAGCAAGCATTAAAGAAATATTTTTGAACTGTATGGCAGCATTAATTACATTTGGAATCAAGAGAAAAAAAAAGGTCTTTTAAAACATTTACAACCAGACCTTATGGTCAAGCTCTAAGTGCTTTCTTTCACTCAAGTTGTTACTTAAGAAAAGATATGTGGTAACACTTAGGTTCCATTTAGTTGCTGCTTTAGAAATTCAATGAATGAGCAGTTTTGTGAATAATCAATCACAAGAGAATTAAGAAGTGGCTTTATACATTTAGAATGTGTTCAGAAGTAGATGTGCCCATTAATTATACTCATTGCTCCTTAAGAATGTGTTAATATATGTATTTTTAAAAAACACAACACTTCTATCAAGCTTTATTTGTTTGCTTTCATTTCATTGTGTGCCTCAGTCAGGCAACCAATGTAAAACTTTCTATAACCTTAGGTTCTTTTCTTGGACTCAAGAATAAAGCCAATCTTGCCCAAGTCTTGTTTTATGTATGGTCATGTATATGTTTAAGCTATATGATATTTTTAGGCAGTAGTTGAAGCCAAGAAGTTAATCTTGGGAGGACTTGAAAAAGCAAAGAAAAAAGAGGACATCATAATGTACCTGCTGGCTCTGAAGAATGCCCTGCTTCCAGAAGGCATCCCACTCCTTCTCAAGTATGCTGAGGCAGGAGAAGGTCCTGTCAGCCACCTTGCTACCACTGCTCTCCAGAGATATGATGTCCCTTTCATTACTGATGAGGTAAAATCTCCAAGAGTATTTGCATCATTAACAGAAGGAAAAAAGCATGTCTGAACATGAGTCAAATGCAAACTCCTCTCAATTCACTCTATTTTTTCCCCAAAGAGTCTTTTTCTCCTGCTTAGAAAAGATTCTTAAATTGCATTTCAGCCTATTCTGAAGCAGCCTCACATTTTGAATAGATAAGGTCCTATATCCTGAAGCATAAATATTGAAGAAATTCTTTTATTTTAAGAAACAAATTATTTTCAGATATAACTTTACTTTTACAAGTTTTAAGATGCTGTTAAATTTTTCATCACTGAAATTTCCTGGCTTAAGTGTGACCTTGTTTGTTCTTACAACTACATTTTCAGGAAACCATCTAAATTAAACTTTGTTAGGGCAGAGAATGTTTATAAACCTCAAGATAAACTGTATTCTGAGAATGGTGTTTGCACCATTAGTTTGCAGCTAAGCACCTTCCCAGCAGAGTTGTGTCAAAGTTGGTGGCTACAAAGCATGATTGATGAGAGCATAGGCTTTTGAGACAGACAGACCATGTGTAAATTCTGGCTCTGTTCTTTCCTAGTTGTTTGTTATTGAGTGAGTTACTTAATTCCTACATACCTGAGAGCAAGGCCAAGATTCAAGGGAGATAGAAAAAGGCAGAGGAAAGTGGAATTGAAAGAAATATTTATAAATGCATAGTATAGAACCCCACACATTGCATATTGTTAGGCAATGCTAGTAACCAATAAAATTACTTGTTGCTACAGAATGCAATTATTTTGGCACATTTTCTTTGATGTTAATGTTTTGTTTATGATGGGTAGAGTAGGTTTGTGGAACATAACAGTGTGGTGCAGGATGTTGACGGAGGGGGAGATTGTGTGCATGTAGGGGCAGGAGGTATATGGGAATTATCTGTACTTTCTGCTTAATTTTGCGGTGAACCTAAAACTGTCTTTAAAAGTAAAGACTATTAATTTTAAAAAAATAAGAAGGGATGATTCTGAGTTACTTCATTGTAAGGAAATATCAGTTCATATAGCCATCTCTCCACAGAGCCCCGTTGCCATGTGGCAGTGGAATCCTTAACATTCTGTATTAGTTAGGTAACTCCATGCTATGCTGCAATAACAAATGAACCTCAAAATCTCAGCAGTTTATCAAAAGCTTATTTTTCATGCTATGCCTAATATGGGTAGGGGAATATGTGGCCCTAAGTTTACTACAGTTGTAGAGGAAAGAGATGGAGAAGGCATACCAGCTCTTAACTGCCTTGGCCTAGAAGTGACCTACATCGATTCTGCTCATGGTCTACTAGCAGAACTAGTCATATGGCCCCAACCTAATTGCAAAGGAACCTGGCAAATGTAGTAACACATGTATATTTTGATGAACACACACTATTCCTAGATATGCACTAATTTTGAACATCTTATGAGCAGGTGAAGAAGACCTTGAACAGGATATACCACCAGAATCGTAAAATTCATGAAAAGACTGTGCGCACTACTGCAGCTGCTGTCGTTTTAAGTAGCAATCCATCCTACATGGAAGTAAAAAACATCCTGCTCTCTATTGGGGAGCTTCCCAAAGAAATGAATAAATACATGCTCGCCATTGTTCAAGACATCCTACGTTTTGAAATGCCTGCAAGGTATGATACAGTGCACATGTCTCTCTGCTTATTCAAGCTTATTTATATATTGGTGTAGTACACATGCAGCTAATAATAATGGTGTGGTCATTATGCTGGATTATGCTGCATAAAACCAAAGAATGCAAATTCTCCTGTAAGAGGACTTTTCAGGGGTCAGATAAAACAATTTCACTTTGGCTCTACGATTTGGAACTCTGGGTATGATTTTTACTCTAGGCATCCTGTTGAGTCTGGTAAATATATATTGCCAAATGTTAGTAATGTTTTAAAGTCGAACTGCATTTTCAACGGAACTATTTTTATGAGTAGCACAACAAAATGATGTAAGTTCTCACCAAGTGGTCTTTTTATCTTAACTTTCCAAATGTTACGCATCTTTGAAGCCTCATGTATCATAGATCAAATGAGTTTGCATTTAAATTTGAAACCTTGGGTGTGGCCCACATTTTAGGACTATTCAAGGTATGAAGCATGTAAGCAGCAGACTTTATTGCTCTCTGTTGCTCTTGCTGGATTAACTTCCTGCCAGTTCCCAAGTCTCTCCTCTGAAATTCACAAATTTTACTCTTTAAAGTGGCTCCACCAAAGCACTTCCTCACTGGAATCAGAGGGCCAGAGAAGGAATTTTCATTTCCCCTGAATTACATGCAGAACACCCCCCACAGGAAAGTTCACATTTGAGCATTCCCTATAGGGGGAAAAAAAAAAAAAAAAAAAAAGATCAGGGAAGGTGGAAAATAAAGAGAAAGAAAATGTAAAAAAGAGGGTAGTAAAAGGCAAAAAGAAAGAGAAAGAAGGACAAAGAAGACTGAAGGAACAAGAAACAGGGAGAGTGAGTAGAACAGAGAAAAGAGGACACACAGGAAACAAGAAGGGAACAGGTGAGTGAGGGAGAAAAGAAACAAAGTCTGTCTGCAGCCATGTATTTCTAGTTGAATGGATTTGACATCTCTCTCTGTTTCTTTGTTTACTTTTATGAGATTCTGTGGAGGAGATTCTGAGTATATTTGCTGCCTTTGTCTTGTGAACCTAGTGATCTAGAGAACCAGAAATGGAGTAGGGAGCAACCTAGGAAATGTGAAACAGTATTACAAACATTATGGGTCAGATTCTCAGAAACAAAACCATTAGAGTTGGAAGGGACATTAAAGACCCACTTGATTGGTATCTCTGTGCAGCGTAGGAGCCTGCTCTCCTGGAAGGTAGTGTGCAGACTTTGCTTGCTACACTCCGGTGGCAGAAAACGCACCATCTCCGAGGGGACTTGTGCCATTGTTCAGAGACTCTCACCATTACGTCTTTGTATGGACTGAAATCTTCCTATTGACCCCGGTTTTCTCCCTGGAGCAAAGCAGAACATGTCTAATCATTCATCCACATGAAGACTCTTTGAATATTTGAGGACAGCTATCATGATCCTTTTCATCTTTTTTTCTCTAGGCTAAAATTTTATAACTCAGTGATACTGGGGGAGAGGGAGAACTGTAAGGTTACCATTCCCTCTTCTCTATAATTATCTACCTCATACCTAGGTCCAGATTTATTAGTTGATTATTTTGCTGTTTTGCTGTGTTGTTATTTTATTATTACTGATATGATTAATGTTATGTAATAGGAAATGGGAAGATTTCAACACTAATTACGTAGACAAGATAGAGGCTTGGGGTAAGGATTTAGACTCACTTTAGAGGAGACAATGGTACCTATGTGGGTTTTACTGAGCTGTTTACATAATTGAAAACTACACAGACATGGAAAAAATCGTGGAAATTTACTATTACATATTATCAGCCAGTGATAACATTAGAAGGTGGAGAAAAATGTTTAAAGAAATGGTGTGCAACCTCCTCAGTTTGGTACACCTAAACATATATACTATTAAACAGTAGAAACTTGATGATCCAAAGAACATGTGTTTTCCACTTCTGAGGTGTGTCTACCAGTCAGTTTAAGCCATCTCATAGCTGGACGTCCTTGCCTTGCTGTCATTTTGATACCAAACTAAATTTCAGATATCTGAGGAATGAAGGGGAAGCCCTAAACTCCAGCTGGCACCTCCCTCAGTCTTGGAGGAGCATGAGAAAAATTTGGACCCCTCTTTTTTCCACTGAGGACTTTTTTTTTTTTTCAAATTTGACTTGGGAAACAGCCCTTACAATTAATATGCAGCTTTTTCTTTTTACATATTGCAGCAAAATGGTCCGTCGTGTTCTGAAGGAAATGGTCATTCACAACTATGACCGTTTCTCCAAGAGTGGATCCTCTTCTGCCTATACTGGCTACATAGAACGTATGTAACCCAAAAGGGGGTTCTCCCTCCATGCCCCACCCCAGCTTGGCATTGCTGGAACTGTTTTTAAATTACAGGTGTTTTTGTTGTTGTTGCTGTTGTTATTATTAGGTAGTCCCCATTCGGCATCTACTTACAGCCTTGACATTCTTTATTCTGGTTCTGGCATTCTAAGGAGAAGTAACATGAACATCTTTCAGTACATTAGGAAGTCTGAACTTCATGGTAGCCAGGTAACTCATTTTCCATGGATTTTGCTTAATAAAGTATGTAATAAATTAGTCTGAGGTAAAACTAAATAATGTATAAGTTAGTGGTAGCTTCTGTCATATTTTGCTCTTGATTTTATCATCTGCACAAGGCTGTATGTTTTATAGTCTCAGAAAAAGTTTCAAATATGAACTTGAAACCTAAGTAATTTGATTCAATGGACTTGCCAAACATTCACTTGTCTTTTCAAAGGTACACATATTCACAAAATTGAAATTGTGCCAATATTTCTCACATAAACATTTTTATAATATTTTATTTTTATTCATAGGTATATTCCTTAGACCCCCAATTATCTAATTCTAGAATATATTTTTCTTTTCTGGGTGTTTCTATGAAGAGATTGAGTCCCCATAATAAAAACCTTCATAATAGAATATGGCTCTCTAAAGAGTCAATCTGTATTTTTCCAGTACTGCTAGAAGAGAAAAGAATAGTGTAGGCCTTTGACAAATTGCTGAATTCCATCCCTTTAGTTTTATCCAAAATTAGGTGATGATCCATTAAGCCTTCCTAATTATAAAATGTACTTTCTCTTTAGTTTTTATGCATATCAAATTATAACCTTATAAATAAAGTCATTTAAGCTTTAGAAATGATTGAGTGCTAAAAATACTTGAGTTCTCATCAATATTATATTACCACACCCTTTGATAGTACTAAAGTCAGAATACTATGTCTTCTGTACTGAGGAATCACCATCTGTTTTCTGATATGCACTCAAAATGCCAAACACCCAGTTTGGCTGGGTGGACAGAAAATTCGTAGGATTCCTGTGTATGGTAGACAACAGGGTGTGAGGCCCATCACAGTGTTCATCATCTTTTATTTTTTTAGCCAGGGAGAAAAGTTTGACAAGGAAAGGTATTCCATGCCCTCACAGCAACATCCTTAGGACAACTGTGCCAAACACCTCTCCATCTCCTTTTAGAGGCTCTATAGGATATCTGATCTATTATATATGACAGTCCTGGAGAGACTGAGTCTCCAGGATCACATCATAAAATGGAAAGCTCATGGTTTTTATAGTCAGACAGAAGGGGTTTGAATCCTGCCTTTGCCATTTACTAGCTAAGTAAACTTGAGCTTTTTTTTTTTTTTCCTTTTTGTCTTTTTTCGTGACCGGTAACGGGATCACAACCCTCGGTGTCATGCCTGCACCACACTCAATCAGTGAGTGCGGACCGGTCTCTATATGGGATCCGAACCCTCGGCGGGAGCACTGCCACGCTCCCAAGCGCCGCACTCTACCGAGTGCACCACCGGGCCAGCCCAAACTTGAGCTTTTTTGCCCCTTGTCTACAGAACGGGTAAAATCATATGTATCTCAAAGGGTGGTTGTGAGGATTAAATGGAGAAAACTAACTCATCTTATATTCAGCAATAGAAGCTTTTGTTTGCTTGTTTTATTTTTATTTTTGTTTTTGTCTAGCTGAGACAAATATTTGAGTTTTGGATTCCTAGAAAAGTTCTAGCTGTAGCTCATAAGCCTCGCATCACTTACAGAGCAGGCAGGGAGCTTATGTCATGAATGTTAATTGATTTTTTCCCTAGGTGGTCATTGAAGCCCAAGGACTGGAGGCTTTAATTGCAGCCACTCCCGACGAAGGGGAGGAGAACCTTGACTCCTATGCTGGTATGTCAGCCATCCTCTTTGATGTTCAGCTCAGGCCTGTCACTTTTTTCAATGGATACAGTGATTTGATGTCCAAAGTGCTGTCAACATCCAGTGACCCTGTCAGTGTGGTGAAAGGACTTATTCTGCTAATAGATCATTCTCAGGTAATTCATTCCATCTGCAAGTAATTATTGAGTCCCTTAGATGTGCCAGGCATATTTTAAATGTGCTCTATTCTTGGAGGATACAAGACAAAGTTCTGCCATCTTGGAGCTCACATTATAAGCATTTGGTCCTCTTGGTATTCTTACCTTTTTCTCCTGTTCTCCTTTGTTACAGACATGTAGCATTTTCTTTTGCATTTATTAGCTGATAAGAAGTCTCCTTACTTTGAGGCAAATATAAAATACTGGTGCTAACAGGAACGAAAAATTGTGGAGAAAACATCCTAGGATACAACAGAACACAGATGGCCTTGCCTTTTTGATTGGCTTTCCTGGGTACACACGCTTAGATGATATTTATCCTAAAGGCAGGAGCTGAACTACATGGCTTCATAAGTTACTGATAATATTTGTAATAACAACAATATGAAGAACCATACAGAGCATCATTTTGACCCTGCCAAATTAGTAGAGGCACAGCAACCACTGACATCAGCCACATGCTTCAGAGAGACTCTTTGCCCAAAATTCTCATGTTTGTAGAACCTTGGAAAGGTTTGTTCATTCTTAGACAATAGGAGTACTTTCATTCTCTTGAACCACATTCTTCAGAATATTTCTCAGTTTTCCTCAGCCCAAAATCTTACAATACTGTACCAAAGCCTAACAATACTATCTTCTGTGCAATAAGATTTAAGAGATCAATATACTATGGGATGGGGGTAGTCTGCCTAATTGTAGTATTTGAGAAACAGAAGAGTGCTAATCTGAATAACCTTTGAGTTTTAATGTTTGATGCTTAAATTTTTTTTCTTTAGTGACTTCATTTACTTCCTGCCTTAATAAGTGTAGCAATATTAAAAAAATAAAATATCTGCCAAATAGTGGTCTTATGGGGAATCCAAATGATCACTGTACACTTCCATTTTTATTATTCCTCTTACCAGTTCAGTATAGCTGTATATGACAAACAAAAAACCTGCAAAAAACAATTTAGAGTGGCTTTCTTTATATCATGTAATAAATACTTGGAAGTAGGTAGTCCAGGGTTGATATGGAAACCCTGAGTTATCATCGGAATGTAGCTCTTTTCCTTCAGCTCAGCCAACCTTACCTGTGGCGTTTAACCTCACGCTTGTCACCTTGTGGTTACCAGATGGCTGCTCTACTTACAGCACTACTTCCTCATTCCAGAAAGAAAGAAGAAAAAGCTAAGAGGTTACAGTCTACCTATTTTTCACAACTTTATTTGGGAGCCCAGTCTAGATTATTATTGACTAAAACTGTGTCACATGGCTAGCAGCAAGGGAAGCTGGTGAATATAGTTTCTTACTGGGTGTATACACACTCTGAACACAACTGTGTCTCTGTTAATATGAATGGAGAGAAGGACAACCAGCAGTGCCTCCCATATCCCTTAATCCTCAAGTTACACATGTAAAAACAGTTCTCAAATTACATCAGAATCTTACATTGCACAATTCCATCACACTCTTATTGAAATAATTTTCTGAAGGCAGCATAAGGGTGCTGAAAAATTAGTCCACATTTTGAGACACAGGGATCACAGTTCAACATCACCTTTATGTGCTCAGCTACCCATTAACAATGCTTACTGTTTTAGAATGGTGTAGTGGATTGAATTATGTCCCCCCCAAACTCATTGAAGTTTGAATTGTGTCCCCCAAGTTTTATGTATTAGAAACTTAGCCCCCACTGTGACTGTTAAGAGGGTGAGAAATCCTATTATGGCAATTGAAAGATGGAGCCTTGTAGGGGTGATTGGATTATAGGACCATGCGGTAGTAAATGGATTAAAAATGGTGGTCAAGGGCGTGGTTCTGAGAGCTTTAAAAGAAGAGGAGAGTGTCTTTCTCTCTCACTGCTCTCCCTGCTTCCACCATCTTGCAATGTGAGACCCCTGAGTCACTGTTGCCACATCAGATGGACTTTGGACTTCCCAGCCTCAGAAACTGTAAGCGATAAATTTCATTTTCTTTATAAATTACCCAGTTCCATGTATTTTGTTTATAAGCAACAAAAACGGAGTAATACAATCGGGGTGTAAAACTTGATGCAAGCATGAGTAATAATCCAGATCTGGGTTGGCAAATGTTCTGTAAAGGGCAGAATATAAATATTTTAGGCTTTGAGGGCCACATAGTCTCTGTTGCAACTCCTCAACTCTGTTATATGAAAACAGCTATCAGCAATATATAAACAGAGGACAGTGTGGTTGTGTTCCAATAAAATTTTATTTACAAAAACAGCCAGTGGGCCAGTCTTGCCCAAAGGCCATAGTTTGCCAACCCCGATCTAAATTATCTTATATAGTTTTTCTATTCATTAAGCTAGGGCACCAAGGCAAGGCATATTCTGTGAGAAAGATTGTGCCCTAGTTATTAAACATAACCTAGTGTCTGTGTGTGTCACGTTGAAGGATCTGGCAGACTTAAGGTTATTATATAGATGAGCTGTTTGAGGCTCTGCAGAGCACTCCAGTAATGTCATCCTAACTTCAGAAACACATACCACTCTAGGTCAAGTGCTGACATTGAAGGAAATGTTGGCAGTGGGTAGCCCGTCACAGCCACCAGGGCAGATAGAATTACTATGTACTTGCTCTTTCTCTCTTCAGCTACTTGGATTACTATTCAGAGAAAGATGTCTGATAAAGTCAATTTAATAAGGGGATCCTCTTTAGCCAGCAAAGAACATATTTTCCTAAACAGAACCAATGGAATGAGTTGTGAAAATATCGGTCTCTGAGCTATAAGAAACACCTTTGGGACTAAATGCAAAAGATCAAAACGGTCACATTCGCTACAAATGCAAAGTTCTAGTATCTTGCTCCTCTAGTTCATGGGCAAAAATTTGAATAAATATGTACTCTGAGTCAAACAGGGACATAATCTAATGCTCTATCTTTTTTGTGATATTTCTCAGAATAGGCTTCCTTGTACAGCTGGAGACAAAAGAGAGTTATGAGTTTGTGATAGCCACGTATAGTAGGATAAAAGTCTCCACTGGGAATTTATTTTGGATCCATGTGTAACCTCTGAGCCTGATTTGTTCTTTCAATCTTCAGATATAATGTCTACCATGGATGACTGGTATGAGGATTAAATGAGATACCACATGTAGAGCTCTGGGCACAAAAACTGTTAGTTCCACTTAGTTTATGACCCCTTAAATATAAGAACTACTGTACTACGTGGTTTAGTCCCTTTCACAAAGAAAAGAGTGGTTTGTCCTTTTACAGGGGTCATTGGTCTGTCCTTATAAGGGGGTCCAAGAAAATTCCTCTGTGACTGTGCATAGAGTTCTTCCATGGTCCCTTTGCATGAAAGAAATGGAATCTCCCCAGAAACTCAAGGAGCTCCTCAAAACCCACCTTGCAATGGAAATGCCCTCTCCTCACACAAGATGCATTGTGTAATAGCTGCGAAATGTTCTTTTCCACTTGATGTAGTTTTTTAAAATTATTTTTTAAATTTAAAAAAAAATTATCAATATACAATGTACTTGATTTTCATGTCCCTTTACCAATTCTTCCTTTTCCCCCATTCCCCCGCATATGATGTGTTTTGACATCCACCTAATGTATGGTTAGAGGGAAGGCCAGGCCCACATTACAGGCCTCTGATTGGCTGGCTAGCCTAACAAGATTATGATTTTAAAATTGGGAAGAGAGGAGAAAATGTAAAGAAAGAAATATTTCTGAGGCAGGGCATAGATGAACATTTAGGAACAACCACAATTACAGTGCAGATGCAGAACTCTGATATCTTGGTCCTGTAGTTCATAGACATAGGTTAAAGTCTGGGCATGACTATTGTGATTTCCTCAGGATAATATGAGTTCCTTCATATTAGTTATGATGCATGAGACAACCCCTGCATCCTACGGCAACCACATTCTATTCTAGATTGAATGTAGCCTTAAGTATCCTTAGTGCTATCTCCTAATGTGTCCTGAGCACAACACTGAGAATCTCATGCTTCCATCCAACAGTGTCCTTTAGACTAGAAGTAGCTTCACGCTACAGTCATACTTTTTTAGTATGCCTGGTCAGAAACCAAGTCCTTTGAGATTTCCTGCCACATATTTTTGGAAAGTGGAGAGAATTCAGTAATATCAACATGATTCTTTCTAGAAAGTGAAATCATAGCATTTACAGTTGGCAAATGCATGGCTTATTTGGTCTGGGTAGGGCAGTTACATAAAGAAATTAGTCATGTTGCCAGTTTCCATGAACTTAAGACTTTTGGAAGAATGTCAGAAGATACTGAGCCTTTCCCCCAGAATTATTATTACTTCCAACACTGTCCCCAAGCAATTTGATTCCATTCCAGCTGAAAAAGTTTCAGCCCACATCTCTTTGGCTAATGTACATGGAAAGTGCAAGACTTAAAGGCTAAATGCAGAGAAACAGCACAAAACAATAGGTTTCAGACAACCACAAAATTGCTCAGCCTGGATTATGTTTATAAATGATTACTGTCCCTCTGAAAAATGTTGTCGAGTTCATATTGGACTTGACTGTTAATTTGGTGTCATTTCAAATGTCAGACAGGGTATTAAGTCTTAAACTGCCTTGCTTTTCTTTCCTAGCTTGTTCTAGGCATTCCTGGAACTTTTATACTACACCAGGAGTTTTTATCCTGCCTTTTATTTGCTAGCAGGATACGTTACGTATATTTGACATAGCACATAATTAGAGAAGTGCTGAAGGACCTCAAGAGATCACCTGGTCCAACTCACCCCACTCTGAACAAAAAGCCATTGCTGGATTTCTGATGGAGATGCCTTCATTTTCCCTAGTCCAGTGGTTCTCAAATTTAGGTGCATCAGAATCAAATGAGGACTTGTTAAAACATAGATTGCTGGACCTCACCAAAGAATTTCTTATCTAGTAGGGATAGGGGAACCTGAAAACCTGCATTCCTAACAGGTTCCCAGGTGATACTGATGCTGTTCCTCACAGGACCACACTTTGAGAACCATTATCCCTCCCAAAGCGAGGCGATGATTGAAGGAAAGATCTCTTCTCTATTGGCACTTTCCTTCTCTAGGATTTTAATTGACTAATTAGTTTGAGCAAATCAACAGAGTCTGCTTCTGGTGATCAAGACTGGGACAACATGTTTCCAAGCCTAGAGAAAGGCTCCAACATCAACATAACTCAAATTGCATTATCTACAGCAGGAAGGAGAATGTGCCTTTATAAATTAAATTGTACTTACTATTATTTTATTTCTTTGCTTCTAGGAGCTTCAGTTGCAATCTGGACTAAAGTCAAATATTGAGGTCCAGGGTGGTTTAGCTATTGATATTTCAGGTGCACTGGAGTTTAGTCTGTGGTATCGTGAGTCTAAAACCCGAGTGAAAAACCGGTAAGCATAATACGTGGTAATACTCTATGCAATGAAGTGCAGAGATATGTTTTGGGAATTGTTTAACCTTCTGACTTTTTAATATCTATGCTTTCTATTTGAAATCATTAAATCATAGAGTTGGAAGTGACCATGGGAAGTTATTCTGTCCATAGTTTCTTATGAGTAGATCAGTACCTAAATCCACTCAACCGAGCATCTTCCTGCTTTTAAAGACATCCATAGACAGTGTGCCCTGTAGATGAGGGGATTCATGTTCTCCTGACATTCTACTTTAGTAGTTGATAATGTTGAGAAATTTTACTTTGAAGCAAAGTTTTTAGCTTATCCCTGTTATGGGGGTTTAAAACCTTTCCTCTTTTGCTGTCATCAGTGGAGAAAAATTTAAAAATGATTGCTTCTGTGCAGAATCAAACTCTTAAACATTAGAAGTCTGTAAGTTTTTTTCATCAGCATTTCTTTTTCTAAATAAAATGTTTTTAGCTTCTTTGATTTTTTTCTAATCTACCTGTGAGATCTAATGAAAGTGTTTTACTTTGAACATAAAACAATGTCTCTGAACCAGTGTGATAATCAGAATAATTAGTCTCCTGTTTCTTATAGAATTGAAGAAAAGGAAATTGAAATATAATTTATTTTTACCTTTTTGAATATTTAAAATACGGTGGGACAGAAGTGAGATAAGAGTGATAAAATTAAATTTTTGATTCATTTTGAACTATGAATGAAAGAACTGAGAACAATAAAAAGGTAGTGTATTTAATGTGAAGGATGACTCACAGTGTCACTAAAAGGAACTGAAAAATAAAAAATGAAACTGGCCATCAGAAGGTCTAGCAATATAATTTAGAGCTTCCCACTGTATCAGTCATCCTCCTCTTTCCAAAGTATTTTCTAGACAGAAAATCCTCCAAATTAAACTGAATTGAGTTCTTTGCAGAGAGAAATCAACAACAGCAACAACCAAAAATCTGGATTTTTTAAAAAGGACATGGCTAAAAATCTACCAGTATCCACATTGTAACCAATCTGTCTTCCATTTTTCATTCATTTGTTCTTTTGAAAAAATATCTCGTAAGCCTTTGCTGAATATAAGACATTAGAAGGTGTTTTCAGGGATTCAAATCATCTCTGACCCACTTTTACACTGACAACAACAACAGGGGTTTTAATTTGCTCAGCAAAAATTAGTACCCCTATCAAAAAAGTATGTACATGTGACTGTTTAATTGTGGGAATAATTTCGCACAGTTTGATTTAAAGTCTACAGTTAGTTAGAGTGGAGGTAAGCCTACTGGAATTGTTTATCCTCTTCATTATCATTCAAGACACATCCCCCAGCCAATCCAATCTGTCCAGTTCTCTAGACGATCATTTTCTTCCACCATATCTGTCCCTCCTGGGCACCTACTGTACATGCCCCACTGTAGGAAAAGTCCTTTGTAACACAATATTTTTTCAAATATCTTGGCAACCAAAGCTTCTACCTCTTTGGGGAAAGTGATGAAATGGAATTGAAATAGCTACATAGAAGCCAACAGAGAGACAGTCAAGGAAATTCTGATAAACATCATCTTTTTGGTGAGGTTAGACTTCCTTTTAAGATAACTCAGGTATTTCTGACCTTCTGAGAGAACTGGGTTTCAAGCATGTTTTCATTTCAGTCATTGATATGCCCATACCAAACAGTGTAGTATCTGATAGACATCCCCACTTCTAGAATTGGAGCCAGAGGAGGGCTCAGGGGAAGGAAAAACCTTCCCTGCCCAGTTTCTGGAACTAACCAAGCCCTGGTTACCAACATCTAAGTACATTTAGGTCACTTCTCAATCCCTTCAGTATTTCCTTCCAGCCATCAGTGTTATGAGTTCAGAGCCTGTGAAATTATAGGTGTTAGTCCAACTCAGTTAAATGTTATATGTAACAGTTTTTTTTTTCTCTCAAATATTTAGGGTGACTATGGTAATAATTGGTGACATCACAGTGGATGCCTCTTTTGTGAAAGCTGGTCTGGAAACCAGTGCAGAAACAGAAGCAGGCCTGGAGTTTATCTCCACAGTGCAGTTTTCTCAGTACCCTTTCTTAGTTTGCATGCAGATGGACAAAGACGAAGCTCCATTTAGGTAAGATGCAGTGTTCATGGAATGTTCTAGGGCCATCCAAGTTCACCAAGAACTTGCATTCCATTTACAGCATTAAGTTTCAGAATTGAAAGAAAATAGTAGAAATCCAGTAAAAGATGAATTTTCTTTAAATGAGTAAAAGAATAAATGATAAGGAGATAGTATCATATTCTAATCTGGAAACAACTTTCCAAGGAAACAAAGCGATTTGATTTACCATAAGAGTTGCCACATAGTTTTACCAAAAATACTGAAAGCACATTTATTATCTGGTATTTTAACAGTTGTCTCCTGGCCAAAACTTCAAATCAAAACATCAGGCAATCCATTTACCATGGTTTAAGGGCCCTAATGAATGTACAATTCTTAGGTATTCCATAAAACAGTAACTTGAACTTGTTTAAGTTTTGGCTTATACTTGATAGTTTGGGATTTTGAATTAAAAAATTCTTTCAGTAGAATTCTTAGTGTCTTAATAACCAAATATATAATTGCCCATGTAACTTTCCCAACATCTTTTCCACCGTAGAGCCTAACTCTCATTTATACTGTCATTTGAATCTTGTAACCATTATTTGAAACAGTACTATCACATATAGTTAGAACGCTATAGGTCTAGGTATCACTGACTCTTCCGTAGTAGTTGTGGAGGTTTCCTCGTTACACATTAACAATAAAAGTCCTTTGTATGCTTGAAACAGCAAGGCACATCTTACATCATCTCCGTTGATAAGTAGGCCAGAGCTGAGCACCTTTTTTATTTTACTGACATTTCATGATCCATATAAAAAATGCATCAATAATATAAGTACAAATATGAGTAGGTTCTATTTTCATGGAATAAAAGATTGTGGGTTACAGTTGGAATAGTAACCTGTCTCTAACTTATGTCTACAAAAAACTTCCATAAATGCGTTAAAAAAATCAACATTCCAAGGGCCAAAATATATATGACCACCAAATTCAGTCACATGGCTAACTGGTTTGGTCACACATTTCGCTAAGGCCAGACCTCTGAGAGTGTTTCCCTGTCAGTATGCTCAGCTTAAAATCCTACTGGATTTGCTACTTACTCAAAAGGGGAGTGTTCTCAAGGTAGGGCTTCTGGAATGGAGGATGGGTGATATAGCAAGGCCTGAAAAGCTTAATAGCATCTTCGAAGAGCTGAGAGGAATTCAGTCCTTCATTCCACAAAAATGTATGGCAGGACTTTCATATCCAAAGCATCTGAAGTGTATCTGTTGGTATAAAAGGAAATGGGAAGAAGAAAATCACCCCATTCATGGGAATGGAGTTACACGGTAGTCTTTGGTACTCGATATCCTTTCTGAAGTTGCTTTTGAACATAAGCTTCAAGTGCACACCCAGTGACTTGGCTGGGACCAGTGTGGGGTCTTTAATATGTGTGTAACTTTGTTATTGTTGCTGTTATAATGCAGGCAATTTGAGACAAAGTACGAAAGGTTGTCCACTGGCAGAGGTTATGTCTCTCGGAAAAGAAAAGAAAGCCTACTGGCAGGATGTGAATTCCCGCTCCATCAAGAAAACTCTGAGATGTGCAATGCGGTGTTTGCCCCTCAACTGGAGAGTACTTCCAGCGGATGGTTTTGAAATTGACCGGTGGTGTATTCACTTGAATTCATCTCCACAAAAGGGAGACAATGTGACATGCCTAAGTACTTGCTCTCTGAGAGCACAGTGTTTACATATTTACCTGTATTTTATATTTTTGTAAAAAGCTATGAAAAACTACAGTTGATTAATCTTGGGCCTATTCAGTGTACCATAGATAGTGTCACTGTGAGTTATCATGTGACGCTTTCAACAACATTCTTACTTTTCTTGTACCTTTCTCAAATCCCATTTTGTACAGTGAGAGTAGTTCTGCTCTAAGAGGAAACTAGAGTTTGTTAAAAGCAAAGACAGAACTAAAAACAAAACCACAAACGCTCAGGAGAACCCAATTTTGTTTCAACAATTTCCAAACAATGTATATGAAGCCCTTGATAGAACCTTAAACATGGCAAGAAAATCAAACATATTACCTAATCAGGGGGGAGAAAAAAGCCATTTTTTTTCTTCATTACTGGGGGGGAAGCAGGGATGAAGGGACAAGACTTTTAAAAGACTTTTGTTAGCCAGCTTTAATAATTAATATTTATGTCTTCTGTTATTTTTAGTTTTATTAAGCATTAAGGTAGAAGGCACACAGAATTAAAACATACCATTTCATCTTTCTGCTGTCCATGTAGTGAGGTCACTCAGAGGCCATCCAGACCTCTACCTCCAGCCCTACAAAAATAATGGACTTATCACATAGGAATCAGAAAAAATAATTTCCATTTGATTTTTCTTAGGGTGTGTCTTTTTGATACTGCAGTGTGATATACTGGTTTTTATAAAGAACATCCTCATGTATTCATTTTCTCTCTGCCTCATTTATTTTGTGCTGGAAGCTCCAGCTTGACTACAATCTGCACAACAGCCAGAATGGCTGAGAGAACATTGCTTTAAGAAACTGATGGATTTGGATTTCTAAAATATGAAATTGAAAAAAGAATGTCTTTATTTGTATGAATTAAAAGACCCATGTGAAACATTTTCAAATATTAATAAAACAGATGTGTTTATTGTGATAAACCCACAACAAACGATAGGTGCTTGTTCTTCTATTAAACACACACACATAAAATTTTTAAGTTTAGCTAGCCCACTATTGATTGTAAATTAAAAATAAAGTGTGATGAAATAAGTATGTGGAAATTTTACTGAATTTCTTCTGTGTTTCATTACTTCAAACACTGTATTTCTCTGTTCCGGACATTTTCTGAACCCAACACATACACAAGTAAGCCTCTGCAGCAATACAGAGCAGGTCAGGTTCTCTAGATGGGGGACCAGAGAGAACCCTTTGGAAAATGGGCCACTCAAAATAGCAGCAGTCAGAACCTCTTAGGGGCCTGTGAGCTTGAAAATAAGCTATTACTCCAGTTTTCATAAACCTCCAGACTGGCACCCTTATTGTTATGTTACTGAAAAGGGAGAAAAGAATCAAAAACTGAGGAAGTGAGTGGAGCACAATGGGTGATGGTCTTGGCTGAAGTACTCTAAAGGTACTGATGCTGTAGGGAAAGCAAGCTGATCTAGGGCACTAAGTTTTAGATGTAGTATGCTAATGAACCTCAGCCATGTGATGTTCAACAAATCACAGTTGCCTCTGTGAAATATAAAATAATCACTTAAAAGTGACAACTGTGGTGCCCTGTACATTAGTGTTTTGCCATTTCCCAACTGCTTATCTGGCTGGCTGAGGCAAATACCTGCCCACCGACTGCAGAATGGACAGTACTTAGCAATTCTAACATGTCCCAAAGAAACAAGAAACCTGAAGCATAGTACAAATAATAACTCCTTTTAAGATAAACAAGATAGAAATTTAAGAGGAATGGGGTGACAGTCCACATTTGGAAATGAGATATTGAAGCCGGAAAAATAACTTTAAACCGTACTTGCAGTTTTCTGGTTCTGATAACTTTACCGTAACAAATGTCAGTATGTAGACAGTCTTCTGCAAAGATGTCTGTCTAGAAACCGCATGGTCCTCTGATATAAATCTCAGGGCCTCTGCCCAGTCAGAGTGCTTCTTCCTGCAAGCCTTGAGGATTTTGTCTGGCTTCTTCTGTGAAGCGTTACTGTCATTCCCTGTCTCATGTCGCAGTACTGCCTATAACAAGTTGCTCCCTGCTTCTCTTCAAGTGTTAAAGCTAACATTTAGTGCTTATTTTGTGTCAGGTATTTCTGAGCATTTTACGTATATTAAATAATTTAATTCTCCCAACAACCATATTTAGTAGGTAACATTATTTCCAAATTATAGATCAGCACTATCCAAGAGAAATATGTTACATAATTTTAAATTTCTAGTAGCCACATTAAAAAAGTAAATAGACACAGATGAATTAAACTTTAATAATGTATTTTATTTAAGCCAATACATATAAATTATTATATTAATATGCAATTTATATATAGTTATTAATGGGTTTTTCTATTTGGGGGGAAGGATTAGGTCTTCAAAATGTGCTATTTTGTGTATACAGCACATCTCAGTTTTGATTAGCAAGCGCTCAATAGTCACATGTGGCTAGGGGCTATAATATTGGATAGTACAATTATAGGTGGAGAAACAGAGGCACAGACATTTAACTTACCCCACAGAAGACATTTTCCCACCTAGAACAAGGTAGAACTAGGATTCAAATATAAGTAGTCTCACCCCAGAAGCTGCTTTCTGAACCCATTATATGAGGGTTCTTCAAAAAGTTCATGGAAAATGTATATCATGAAAAAATTATGCATGGCTTTTGAACTTTCTTTGCGCCAAAATAAACTTATACTAACTTATTACAATGTGTCTGAAGATGATCTAGTTTGAGGCACTAAGAAGAATAAGATATCAGTTTGAAAAAAGCCCCTGTCAGAGTGACATGAATTCTGTTAAAACTGAAGCAAGAACAAACCTCAAATTGATGGTGAAGCTCGGGTGGAAAAATGGTAAAATCATTGATGCTTTACGAAAAGTTTAGGGGGACAATGCCCCAAAGAAATCAGCAGTTTACAAACAGATAACTCATTTTAAGAAGGAACCAGACAATGCTGAAGATGAAGCACACAGTAGCAGACTACCCACATCAATTCGCAAGGAAAAAATTAATCCTGCTTGGACCCTAATTGAAGAGGACTGATGATTAACAGCAGACACAATAGCCAACACCACAAGATATATCAATTCGTTCAGTTTACACAATTCTTGACTGAAGAATCAAAGTTGAGCAAACTTCCCACTGAGGATGGGTACTAAAACTGTTGTGCCTAGACCAGCTACAGACAAGAGCAGAGCTTTCAATGGAAATTTTAAACAAGTGGAATCAAGATCCTGAAGCATTTCTTCAAAGAATTGTAACAGGGGATGAAACATGGCTTTACCAGTATGATCCTGAAAACAAAGCACAATCAAAGCCATGGCTACCATGAGGTGGAAGTGGTGCAGTCAAAGCAAAAACACAGCTATCAAGAGCAAAGGTCATAGCAACAGTTTTCTGAGATGCTCAAGGTATTTTGCTTATTGACTTTCTGGAGGGTCAAAGAACTCTAACATCTGATTATGAGAGTGTTTTGAGAAGGTTAGCCAAAGCTGTAGCAGAAAAACACCCAGGAAAGCTTCGCCCGAGAGTCCTTCATCACCATGACAATGTTCCTGTTCATTCCTCTCATCAATAAGGGCAATTTTGTGAAAGTTTCAATGGGAAAACACTAGACATCTACCTTACAGTACTCCTTCTGACTTCTTTTTGTTTCCTAATCTTAAAAAATACTTAAAGAGACCCATTTTCCTTCAGTTAATAGTCTACAACACTGAACTGACATGACTAAATTCTGAAGACCTTTGTTCTTTAGGGATAGACTAAATGGCTGGTCTCATTGCTTACAAAAGTGTCTTGAAGTTGAGAAAGTTTATATTTTTTATTTTTATTTTTTAATTCCATTTTTCCACAAACTTTTTGAAGTCCCCTTGTATTATATTTCCCAGATCCTTTTGGTGTTAAAGATTTGCTGCTAAAAGAATTCAAACAGTAGGTTATAAAAATTACAAACATGAAACAGCAGCTACAAAGCTTTAAGTTATATTACAAAGTTCTGAGAGTCACTGCTCTTTCTCTGTGGTTCTTGAGGCTCTTTCTCTGATGGTATCAGAAGCCCTTGTTCACTCACAGAACTCTATTTTTTTCCTTGCCAAGTGTTCCTCCATGAAGAATGCTTCATCCCTGGAGGGAGGTTTTAATCTATATAACAATGTGCATTTTTTTTTGATAATAGCTTAACTGAGATATAATTTACACACTATATAATTCGCACCTCTATAGTATAGAACTCAGCCACGAGATAAGAAAGTTCCCATAGAAAGTTTTGAAGAAAATAGTAAGAAGAATCCACATAAGTGAAATGGATAGCATTTTTGAGGGAAGAAAATACCAGAAGACTGCACTCCAGCTCAGTCATTATCCTTCCTCAGGACTTGATCAAAATGTCAGTCTGTGTCTAAACTTCTACCTCTTTTTAGTCATCATCTCCGTCACCATATATTTCTCCTTCTACGTCAGAGTCCCTATGGAAAAGAGGGTCACTACATGAAACTAAAACTGGGTAATTTGAAAAAAGCTCAGTAAACTTTATAAAGATATAAGCAGGATATAGGGAAACCAGAAGGGATGACAGAGCATTCTTAGGCTCATAACAGCAGGGCCTATAAGGTCAAGGAAGGGAGTGATTATTGGCACCCAGACAGCATAAACTGTGTGGAGCTGTGGTCCTGGACTAACAGACACAAGCAGCTCTCACCATCTCCACCAGGAGGGAACTAGGGAAACAAATACACTGACTTTGCTTTCTTTCCTTCTTCTAATCTCCTATTGAAGGTACTCATTGGCCGGAAGAGCCAGAATCCAGAGGGTAAGAGTGCCTGTTGATCCAGACTATACACAAAGCAGGTGGAAAGCAGCATTGAAGGGGGAAATGGAAGAAACCCAGCCCAAACTTATATGATGGGTCCTTTCCTACAATTTGTTAATTTATTTAATCATTTGTCTTACACAACATGGACAGTTTATTAGGATCAAGAAATGTACTAGAATAAAAAAAGAAAGCAAGATATGTTACCTCACCTCAAGAGCACAAGCAACAAAAGAAAAAATAAATGGAATTATATTAAACTAAAAAACTTCTGCACAGCAAAGGAAGGAAACAACAGAGTGGAAAGATAACCTACAGAATGGGAGAAAATATTTGCAAACTATACATCTGACGAGGGATTAATATCTAGAATATACAAAGAATTCAAACAACTACATAGTAAAAAACCGAATAATCTAATTAAAAATGGGCAAAGGAGATGAACAGACAATTTTCAAAGGAAGACATACAAATGGCCGACAGGTACATGAAAAAATGCTCAGCATCACTGGTTATCAGAGAAATGCAAATTAAAACCACATTGAGATATCATCTCACCCTAGTTAGACTGGCCATTATTAAAAAGACTGAGAATAACTAATGCTGGTGAGGATGCAGGGAAAGGGGAACTTTTCCACACTGTTGGTGGGACTGTAAATTAGCACAGCCATTATGGAAAACAGTATGGAGGTTCCTCAAACAACTACAGACAGAACTACCATATGATAAAGCAATCCCACTACTGGGTATATATCCAAAGGAATGGAAATCATCATGTTGAAGGGATCCCTGCACTCCCATGTTTATTGCAGTTCTATTTACAATAGCCAAAACATGGAACCAACCTAAGTGTCCATAGATGGACGACTGGATAAAGAAAATGTGGTATATATACACAATGGAATACCACTCAGCCATAAAAAAGAAAGAAATTCTGCCATTTGCAGCAACATGAATGAGCCTTGAGAAAATTATATTAAGTGAAATAAGACAAAGAAACAGAAATACTGCATGTTCTCATTCATAATTGGCTGCTAGGAAGGAAGGGAGGGAAGGATGGAAGAAGGAAGGAATGAAGGAAAGAAAAGACCACAACAATATGTTGAACTTTCAGAAGGCAAGAACAAACCTAAGGATACTAGAGATGGGGGGAGAGAGGGAGGGGGCTCGGGAAATGATAGGTCAGGCAAAGGGCATAAAGAAATATCATGATTTGTATGAATGAATACGCTAATAATAAAAAAGTTTTTTTAAAAAGCCACTTAGTGAAGTGAGGGAAGCAATACAACTAAAAATAATTTAGTACAATGGTATAAGTGTTGTAAAAGAAATGTGTTCAAAATCCTAAGGAAGCATAAAGACAACATCATCAAGGAGGTGATATTTGAACTAGGCTACGTGACTTCCTTACATCTACTACTTAACCAGAATCAGCCTCTTTATTTTGGCCGTGTATCAACTTCCTTCACTATGCATAACATCTAAAACCCCAGGATGGAGTCAAGTCTATTTGTCTTTAGCTTCAGTGTGCAGACAAACAATGTATACTCTCAAGAGAGCCTGCTGTACAACTGCAAATTCTATTTGAGATTAGAAAATAATGTAAAAACTGAGATACACAAAAATTCCACCATTGGAGGTACCTCAGCTAATCATTTACCTTCCATCACGGAATTATAGTCGATCTACAAGGACATTAGAAACTCTTTGCTACCTTCCTATTCGTGAAAGTTAAATTTATTCACAGTTGACTTGGAACATCACATAAATCTGACAACTATACTCACTCTTCTATTTTTACTAGACATATTCCTGCCATAATCTTCTATGACCACACACAAAAGTATGGATCTTCTCTTTACAGAATAAGCTTTATGTATAAACTACCCAATTTCTTTTGTTAGTGAATCACCTCCATCTTCTTTTGGTTATCTATTCCCACTTCTTTTTATACTTCTCCCTCTCAATTTGCCTGAAGATTAACTATGTAAACACAGTCGTGGAGTAAGATTTCACTGAGATGAATCAAGTTGTTGACATACAAAGAGGTGCTTAAAGGTGGAGATGTTCTCATATATTCTTCAGTCAGGAAAAAAGACATTAGCTCTTTAATGTGATCTACAGAAGACATGGTAAATACAATGTCTCACAGCTGGTGAAGGGCAGAGTCAGGATTTAACCAGGGAGCCTCACTCTAGAGTTCAAGCATGTAACCACTGCACGATACTACCCCCAGAATTCAGTCTGAGCCAAGCCTGAAATTCAATTCCCTTGGCTGTATGTTCTTCTGTTCTCATCCTTCCCCCTGCCCTTCTGCCCAAACATATCCTACCGAGCCCCGCTCCCATCACATTTCCTGCACATATAAGCTGCCAACTATGAAGACGCCAGCTTCCTAGCATGCTTGGTACATACACCACCCACTTGGGAATTAACCATACCAACTTGAGTGACTGCCCTTGATGCCTCATGTCATTGTTTTTAGTTTAAAAAATTTATTTTTCTTAGGCAAATATCTTCTCTTCCCAAATAAAGTGTGAGCTTCTTAAGCTCAGGTCTACATATATAGTCCTTAGGATCCTCCATGCGGTGTGTAGTCTTTGCTCAGTAACCACTGAGCTACTCCCTATAAATGTCCGGGCAATCATAACGTGAACTGCTCTTCAGAATGGGCAAGGTGTCATATGAAGGGGACAGCATTCTGTCAGAGCCTCCATAGCAAAGAAACTTACTCTCCCCTCAAAAGGAAAAAAAAATAAAGGGGTAAAAATAAAGGCTAGATTAACTTTACCAAAAAAAAAAGAAGGAAAATCTCTCTTAAGCACTGTCTTTAAAAAATGTTCACAAAAACCCTGAGACAGGCATTTTTTGTCTCCATTTTAAAGAAAGAAATGATTGAGGAAAATGAGGATTGGAGAAGGAATATCTCACCGGGGACTGCTACACTAACATGATGGGTCAAGAGCAGAGTTCGCTACTCAGGAATATCAGCCTTCCTGTTGCCCTCCAGGAAGTTAGCCAACCTGTGTCACCAGTGCCCTGTGGTCCAGAGAAGTGGTTCTCAAACTTGCATGAGAATCACCTGGAGGGTTTGTTAAATCACAGACTGTTGCTCCTCACCACCCCGCTCCATTCCTGATTCAACAATCCTGATGTGAACTACCGATTTGCACTGAAAACAGGTGAAGCCCATGCTGTTGGTGTGGAAACCACACTTTGAGAGCCCTGCTCTAGAGAAATTTGACCCAGGGAAGATGACGGGCACTTAATCAGAAGGCCATTAGTCTTTCCTGATGTTTGTAAACTGGGGAGTGAGGGGTATGAAAGTAAGAGATTGTTCTTTCTACAGTGAAATATGTATTTCCGCATATCACAAGGAGCCTCTCATTCTTACATCTTTAAACAAGTGCTTGCGCGGTGGCTCCTCAGAATAGAATATTTCTAAACTGAAATTTAGGAGTGTTGGGGATGGAAGAGCTGGGAGATGGGGGGAGGGAGACATCTCAAAATCCCACGTGGCAAAAGTTCTAAGAATGCTCAATCCCTTTCACTCAGTAATTCTAATTAGAGGATTTTATCTCATGGAAATAATCAGAGATGCTTACAAAGATTTATGTTCAAAGATTCATTGCAGCATTTTTCATAGGCCAAAACTATTAAAATTAAATACCTAAAAATATGAGATTGCTTAATATGATACAGCCATATGAGAAAATGAGATACAGGTGTTAAAAATCATTCCTCCAAGAATATTGGAAGAGATAGGTTTATATTAGGAAATGAAAAAGTAGACTAAAAATAGCATGTAAAGTATAAATACACTTACAATTATCTTCTAGAGGCAATTTGCATAGTGGGTCTGAGTGATTAAGAATTTTTCCCCTATTTTAAGTGTTTTAATATTTTCCAAACTTCCTTCAATGAATATGCACTACCTTTGTAAATACAAGTAGTCCCAGTAAGTGATTTGAGTATTCTCCTTTATAAATTTGCTTTATTTTAAATGAGCAAAGATCTTTACGTCATTGGACAAATAAATCCATTTCTTCATTAGGACAGCTCTACAAACTCGCATTTGCAACAAAATAAACCGTTATCCATCGAGATACCGGAAAAAGGAATGCAGAGACTTAAGCATACTTGCTTCTCTTCAGCTTTAGTAGCAGAAGCAGGACTGTTCCTGTAAAGCTCCTAACGATAATCATGCCGTTTTAAACAATAGGATGCTGGGGAGTGTGGGAATCTGATGCTCGGGACTTCAAGAACTCCTCAAGTCGTTTCATCTTCTCAGCTGGAGGAGAAGCAATTGATACCAGCCATTAACAAGGAAAAACCTTCGCCATTTCAAACTAGCCGGTTATTGGGGTTGCTAGCTGGAGGCAGCCAGGGGAAGAGAGGAGGTGCTGGCAACATCGTTTCTCGGGTGGAGGCTCTGAGCCTGGGATCTAACTGGGAATAGCAGTGTAGCCCAACTAAGAGGTGGCTTGGCCAGTGATGGGCGGAACGCGTCAGACCTCCGCTTACTTTCCCAAGGTCCTACCCAGGGGCTCCCCTCCCACAGGGATCCCCAGGGACTGTGTATAGCTTCCTGCAATTAGTTTCGAGAAGGTTAAGGGAGGCTTGAAGGAAGCCGAGTATGGCCAGAGGGGCCACCCGTGACTTCCTCCACGTGCAGGTTCTCAAAGACCCTGACCTCGGACACGATGTTCTCGGTGCCATGATGCGAGGCTCAGGAGCATGCTCTTCACCCGGTTCTGTACTCGGGGCCGTCCGAAGACGGTGATTTCCACTAGGTTCCTGGAGCTCGTTATGTCCACCGTCAGCAGGGCCTGGCTCATCCACTCCATTTCCGGAATTATGGCTCGGTCAGGGCCTAAACAGGTAAGGAGAGACTGAGGGGTGGCACGGCCACAGGTCATTTGAAGGGCACGTAGCTGGGGAGGGGAAAGAGTTGCCAGCCGGGCCTCACAGCGCCACGCGCGGCCTGCGGACCTGGGGGGAGAAGGGGCCTCACCGAAGACCGCGTCCGCCAGCCACGCCTCCAGGTGGAACACCAGAGGGTCGCTCAGCGCCTGCGCTGGAAACCACCACGGCCAGATGCGAAGCCAAGGTGGCGGGAGCGGCAACCCAGGCAGCTTCCAAGCCAGGTACAGGGGCTTTTGCCTTCCAGGACCTGACTCTGTATATTCAAACTCACATGGAAAGTTTCTTCTTCGCTTTCCTCCATCTCAGCTGCCGCCTGCAAACTACATAGCACTGGACTCCCCAGTAAGCCCAAGCTGGTGATGATGAAGGTTCACTATGGAGCTACACTTAACCCCCGATGGCCAGGGGACAGAGCCAAACCCAGATGCCAGAAGACCAGATAGAAGTGGGTCGCCTGCGCCGGAAACCACCACGGCCGGATGCGAAGCCGAGGTGGCGGGAGCGGCAACCCGGGCAGCCTCGCCAGGGCGCGAGCCTGCGGGCCTTTGTCCTGCTGGGCCTCAGCAGCACCAGCGTCGTCGACCATGCTGGGACCTGCAGCCCGAAGAGGAAGAAGAAGCACTGGGTGGCTATCGCCAGAGTTCCGCGGGACCCAGGCGCCGCCGCCGCCACCGCCCCCTTTTATGGTGTCGGGCCAGCCCCGCCCCCTCTCGCGGCCTGGAGACTCCTCCAGGCTAGTTCGAGTGCTTTTTAAGCAACCTGTACGGCAATCAATTTGAATGGAGAGATATATCGTAGTAGTTAATAGTTCCTGAATGCCAACTACAGGCTAGGGGTAATAGGAATTATCTTATAATTCTCACGTTGTGAAAATATGTCACATATTATATATTATACTGGAATATTATAATGCGTGTGTGTATTATATAATAATGTAAAACACTATTATTAAACTAATTTTACAGAGAAGGTGATGTAGGCGTAGAGAAGCCAAGTAACTTGATGGTAATGGGTAGAAGTGGGTTTTGAACCCAGGTATATCTGACTTGAATGAACCTGTTCTTACTCTATCCCGTAGTGCTGAAGGTATATAAGCCTTTAGGGAAGACTATACTCAAGGGATGGTTGGTTGATCAAGTTATAACTTCAAGGAGCAGAAAAAATATTAGTTTTTGCTATATCTTTAGATGACTGTCTTTTCACAGCACTTCTGTTGGATAAACTTCCTATCAAAGAAGGGCTTTGACCATGCTGCTTCTCCCCACACTTTCCCCCCACTGCCTTTCAGTAGCCCCCCTGGCCCGTGCACAAACAGCTTCTTTACTTTCAGTTTCTTGCTATTGCCCTGGTTTTCCTGGTCCTATTCACATCCAGCCCTCTTTGCTCCCCTGCCTGCCCCATGCTGGGTCACTGACATGGATCTCTTCTTTGTGGCTGTTAACCAGTTTCCTCTTTCAATCTCCATGCCTTTGGCAAGGCTTAGACTAGATAGCTTCATCAGCATATCAGGCATTCTCACCATATTTAGAGACTTCCTGAAATCCTAACCTCTTCATGAATCAGAACACCTGGCATATAACAAGCATTCATTCTTTTCTGCAGAAAATTTACTCCCTTCACCTTGGAAGTACAACAGTGATTTCCCTATTAGATTCCAACATATTTCCCAATACACACAAAAAAGCATGCCCACCAAACCTTGGATAGACTACTCCTATTCTAGATTTTTTTTTTAGAATATTTGACTGAGCCTATGCAGATCTAAGAACTGACTCTAGAATTCCTTTTTTAAAAGTAGCTGTTTAAAAGCACCCCTTTATGAGTTTAATGGTTTTAAAATGACCCCAAATTCTTTGACACTCTTGCCATTGAGAGGTGGGATTTATGTTCCTGTTCATTGAATCTGGGTTCTGTGATATCTTGTCAAATAGAGTATGGTAAAAGTGATACCATGTTCAGTTTCTGAGATAGGCCTTAAGAAACTGGCAGTATATGCTTCATGTCTTTTGGGTTACTCACTGTTGGAAGCCAGCCACCATGTTTTAAGGAAGCCCAAGTAGCAGGAGGTCCAGATGAAGAGAAACTGAAGTCTTTGGCTCTCAGGCCCAGCTGAGCTCCCAGCTGACAGCTAGCATTAACTTGCCAGTTATGTGAGTGAGCCATCTTGGAAGTGGTTTCTCCAGTTTCTAATCTGCAGTGCCAAACCTTCCTTGCTGAGCCCTGCCCAAATTGCAGATTCATGAGCTAAACAAAGAATTTTTGTTGTTTTTAAGACACCAGCTTTTGGAGCAGATTGTTTCTCAGCAGTACATAACTAGGACAATGAGCATGCTTGGTTATGAAGGTAAGGTCTTTTGAACATAGTGCACTGGGTCTGCATTAGTAGGGCTTCATTAAGTGTTTAAATTGCTCTACACATGAAATGACAGGAAACTGGAGGATTGGAGCCAGCAAGCTAGGGAGCAGAAGTGGAGGGTGAATGGAGGGACAAGGGCTCTAGTAATAGGGAGAGTGGCTGGAGCACAAATGAACTCAACAACCAGCAAAAATTATCTTGTGCCAGAGATGGCATGGGGCTATTTAAAAACAGGAATGTCACTAGGCCAGCCCGGTGGCGCACTGCTACAGTGCGCCGCTTGGGAGTGTGGCGGCGCTCCCGCCGAGGGTTCAGATCCCACATACAGACCGGTTCCCGCTCACTGGCTGAGCGAGGTGCGGGCGCAACACCGAGGGTTGCAATCCCGTTGCCGGTCCCGGTCCGGTACGGGCGCGACACTGAGGGTTGCGATCCGTTGCTGGACATGAAAAAAGACAAAAAGGAAAAAAAAAAAAAAAACAGGAATGTCAGTGGTTCAGGTTTAAGGTGTTTACTAATACACCTGCCTGCCATGTGATGGATCACCTACTAATCTCCATTCTATTTACACTAAACCTTCAGCAAAATCCTGCTGCACATATAATCCCTGAGTCTGGAATAGTCAGGATTGGGTGGGTGTGCTGCAGGGAAGGCTGGCAGGGCAATGCAATGCAGAGAAACAGCACATGTGAGGCAAAATGGAAAATGTAGTTTGAGAATTTATCAGAAACAAGAGCTGGAAGCCAGAGGTGACTCAGGAAAATATAAGGCCTGGAGCTGCCCTCAGTTTTCTCTTTTGCTGTGTATCTCCCAACCTCTGGACACATGTGAGGATATCCTTCTTTGTAGATGTTGGGGAAAAATAGGAAAATGTCAGGGCCCCTCAGATATTCAGAATCTTGCCAAGCATTTGCTGTAAATATCCTCAGGTGTTCCTTGTTACTACTTAATGTGAATTGTGTATGGGCACCCAGGTGTTCAGGGTTGCGGACTTAAGTATAAAAGACTAACAGCTCTGGTGGACAGTGCTTCTCAGAACTCTCAGAGAAGCTACTAGGACAGTTGCTCCTAGATATGAATAAAACCCATTCATTTTTCTATACCCATGGCTCCCAGAACCTTTTTTTTTCTATTACCTAGCTCACAGACCTGAGTGTGGAAGGTTTGTAACCCAATCTGTGCAACAGACTCGAGGGATCTGTAAGTCCTGGCTTTACAGTAGAATATGGGTTCCAGTGTTTTGGGGCTTCAGTCTTAAGGTTTATAGTGACTTCAGTTGACTAGTGGTTGATTTAAGGGACATGTTACAGCATTGATCCTCACTGTGTAGTAAGTCTTCAAAATATGTGCCCTCTGATATGTAGTTTTTGAGAGAGATATAATGACACTTACTTTCCTGGGCCTCAAAGGGGGCCCTCATTGACACTTGTCTAGGTCTACGTTGCCCTTTGATGTCACTGGAACATCACACACCTTAGTAGGTGCTCCTCACAATGATACAGGATGAGGCAAGCTTAGGTCAGACTCCTTAGGTTGGCCAGGTGAAATAACTCTGGGTATGAGGTAAAACCTATTTCCAGACTTCTGACCTCCAGAGCTATAAGATCATAAATTTGTGTTGTTTTGAAGCTACACAAGCCACTAAATTGGATATTTATTACTATGGTAATACCTGAATGTGAAATATTAATAGAGTATTTTAATTAAATGAAGGATTTAAGCTAGAAACCAGAAGAAAATAGAAATGTCTAAAGCTGGTATTTTGAGTTAAAATGAAGACAAACAATTCATGTTTTTGCAGTTACTTTTACTGGGGAAAAAAAAAACCCAACAAAACATTTTTTTTTTCAAAACAGTTAAAAGACCATTACACAAGATTGCACAATCATTTACAAAAGCTGGCAATTAAAGATCAGTAGGCTAGTCTCACAGAATCCTTGTTTAAGTAGTTTTCTCCATATGCAATACACTTGAAAAGGTAATTCTCAGAGCTGTTAGGCTAGATTCAAAGTCCCCTTAGCCAAGCTCACTGCATCTATAACTGAATCACATTAGACCTCAGATAAGAACTTTTCCACTAAGATTTCTATGTTGAGAACAGTTTAAAATTTTACATACTTTCCATTTACCACCTGCTTTTTTCACAGTCAGGGGTATAATTCAGCATTATCCAATGTCCTTCCCTATTTATCACACAATTTACATTCCTCTGTTCAGACATAACTTCTACAGTCTTCACATTCTTTTCAACCACTACTGTTTTTACTGTACAATAGTATGATTTATATGTAAATACACAAACACACATCTTCATGGGGGGAGAAAAAGGAAAGACCACCTGCTAGAAAATGGATACAGATATGGTAGGTAACTCAGGGAGCCCTGGGAAGAACTCTTTGCTATTAACATTAGCTTGTAGAAAGCAATTATGAAAAAAGAGGAACAAACTTGATATACCCAACAACAACAACAACAACAAAAAGAACAAAACAGAAAAAGCAATTATGAAACAAAAAAAAGAAAAAATCAAATTAGGGGTGTGTATGTGTGTGTTATTCTGCACCATTATAAATAAAACAGGAATAAATCTAATAATGTGCTTTAGCACAATGTGAAACACTGAATGTTAACAGCTTACAAATGCTGCTGTGAACATTCAGTTCTCTTCTGAGATTGGGGGCAGACAAAGGAGTCCAATTTTCAGAATCCTCCCCTGGGCCTTGTACTCACACATGTCACAGAGGAACATGCTTTTTTTCCAAGAGGACCAGAGTCTGCAATTCTGATTAGATTCAAGCTCAAGGCACCATTTAGCAAATGCTACATGCTTTATTAATGATTTTATGCACCTGTGAGGTCTACAGGGACCCAGAAATTATTAAGAATACATAAGCATTCTCTTGAAAATATATATTATATCTTGATATATATGTCACCTTAAAAATTATGTAAAAGCCTAACATATTTTATGAATTTGATTTTTATAAGCACGTTTCTCAAACAAACTTACACATAATTTTTCCCCTCAACAGTACTGATAAAATAAAGGGCACCTTTTTCTTTCAAGTAATTGGGTAAAATAGCATACCCTGAGAACTTGGAGTGCAAACCTACACCTTGTAAACTGTAGAATGAAACTCCTCAAGCACCACATAGGAAAATGTATACCATGATAGTTTTAAAACACAAAGACTATTATTGAATGTTTTTTCTCATGTACATATACGTAGTTGTCATGAGATTATAGTCCATCTACTTAGGAATCAATACTGTCCTGCAGTCCGAAGTATTATTTTAGGTAGCATGAGCATTCAATTTGTAGCAAACATATTGTCATTTCTATGAAGTATGAAAACAATTAAAATGCATTAAATCTCTTTAAGAGGCAAGGGTGATAAAGTCAAATCTGAAATTAAGAAAAAGGAATTTACATCACTATATATTTCCTAGTGATATAAGGATGGATTTGAAAAGCATGTTAATATTTGAGATTTATTATAAAGATGTCAAAGTGTAATTTGTTTTAGCTTATTTATTCAGTGATAAATAGGCATATAGAGAGCCTATTATGCTAAGTCATTACCTAAATGTCTGGGCTTCATTTAACCCTGAGGGCAATTTTAGTGAGTGCTTTCAAGAAAGTACATTCAGGGGAATTAAATTTTCATACTGATTACAAATGTGTTCAGTTTTTCAGAAACAATTCAAATAGTGCATTTCAACATGACCATTTTACCAACAGGGAAAGAGAGAAAATGGGTAGGGATCTCTATACAATGCCCTGTGGTTCTTTTGGAAAGATGAGCCACATATGTAACCCTGAGAGGAAATCACAAAAGCCAGACTCAGCAATTTTGATTAGATGCAAGCCCAAGGCACTATTTAGGAAATGCCTTATTAATGGTTTTATATACAAAAAACATAACATGATAGTTCAGTAGCGAAAGGGAAATTGTTGGGGTAACAGTTTTATGGGTCAGAAGGCTTTATAGATTCTTATTCCACTTTGGTTGGAAAAGAAAGGGCACAACCACTTCATTCAGATATCCATGCAACCTCAAGAAATGACAAAATAATGAAAACGAGGATTGAGATTTACCTTATGCCTATAAAAATGTTCTTTCCCTCTCACTTCAGGCAGTAAATGGCCTAGCAGCTTTGTACAGTTTGATAGAGAGCCATAAAATAATCAATAAATGATGTGGTATTCAACAGATCATTGTTTTAAAGTAACATTTTTAACCACTTGGACATTGATGACATCCCTGGCAAGCTCAGATACTGCACCTCTTGGATAGAAGCAACAGGTGAAAATTTCTCCTTTCTTTCCTAGTTTCTGTTCTAGTTTACCCCAATGTGAGAATTTAAGTCTCAGATCTGCTGGTGATAAATATTGGTAAAGAGCTCATTGGCCTACAGACCATCCACTCTGCCACATTTTCTAGGGAAAGAGGTGTCTCCTTTGTTGAAGAGCTGGCTAGCAGTGACAACTCAAAATGGCTATAGGGCTTTCCTAAAAGTTGTAAGTGGTTTTAAACCCGTCTTACCAGTTTTAATACTACCCACCCAAATCCTGTATAAGTTCCGCCAGACGTGTTCAAATACTTGAGATTTCATGGTGCTGCTTTAAATATTATAGGTTTGAGATCTTTGAAATGGATTCTACTTTCTTGTTTCAATATTAAGTGACCTCATACCCAGCCAATCTCTCCTGAAAATGAGGAAGCACTGATGCTATAAGAATTGTTCCCAAGTGGTAAAAAATTAAGAAAGTTCTGGGGTGAAATCTATTGATGTACCTGGGTAA